GAAATACACTTGCTGGGAATTTCAGATGCTCATGTATAATAACAAAACAGCGAATGATATAAATTCCTCAAAACATAACTCTGGCATAAAAAAAACATGAATACTTCTATAATATGTATAGTTTTATTTCTCTGCATTATCAACATTTAATAAAATAGTGAATTAATACAATTTTAAAGTTTATTTAATCGGTGTGACATAATTTGCCGTGAGATTCACATCTGTATCTACCTCATCTGTGATGTTGGGCAATGTTCGCTGATGCCGGAAGATGTTAGATCGGGTTTCACTTCGCCTAAAGCCCCGTACAGTCCGACATCGTACAAAATATTATCTAATTAAAAAATGAAAATATATGTTTAATCTGAACTAATCTGAATTACAAAAGCTCGAGCCTTAATATAAGCGCATATTTAGGTCAACGAATTAACACTTGAGCACAAGGATCGACATATGTGACGTTGCATTTACGCGGAAACCGGGCATCGAAAAATAGTCTGCACTCTGTAAGTGTAAAATGAAAATCTCGAACGGTCGGTGCCAGTAGGTAGCGACGACAACAACTACCTGAAAATATATAAGCTTCAACGGCCCTTCAATCGGCAGTTGATAAAAATACATTGAATATGTTTTGAAACCGTTGTGGAAGATTTCTTGACAGGCACTGTAACTTAACAGAAGAAAAATATATTATGTTCTTCTCAGGACGGTAGTTCTGTTTCAAGTCAGTCGCTGTTGAATGTAGGTTGAGTGTTTACACTTGGTAACTCGATGCGTGGGAGGTTGCTATAGTGCGAAAATAATCATAGAAAAACTCAAATTTTGGGTCTTGCATTCATGTGAATACGCTATCGCTTGCATGGGGGTCTTTCTGCGACCGTAGCGAAAGGAGAAATTCAAAAGCGCTTCAAACTGTAATAATTATTAACAACAGAAAATAAATTGTTTGGAATTTGGTTGCGATACCAGTCAAAATATACATAAAATTTGAATATATCATGATGTCATTGAAATTTTAGGATGTTGTCAGTTTAACTTCAGTTATCGCACTATAGTGAATAGAACTCGAAAATAATAATTAGGATGATGTTGTGTCTTTGAGCGAGGAACAAACGTTTTGGGGATACAAGTTTAACACCTCTGGATCTGTTGTAAGTTTGAAAAATACCGCATTCTTATTTAAGTGATTCGTTTCGTATGGGAGACAGTTGTGGTGCGAGAGGGATTCCACTACGTGAAAAATATAGACGGAACTTCAAGGTTCCAAGCGACATTCCGTTGATGAAGTGTTTTCCCGATGAAAGGTCTTCGCTCGAAACGTCGAAGTTCTGCTTATATTTTACAGGTATATTAGTATCTCCCAACCAGTTGTTATCGTCGCTAACTACACTGACATCGACCGTTTGAGATTTTGGGAAAGCGTGTTCAATAATCACGCGACCGCGTATACAATCGTCAAATGCTATAAATAATTACGCGTAATCGTCAAGGGTTGTACAATGTTGGATGAAAATTATATAAATTCAACAAAGTCAAAGCTATATAGCGGGTCTAACACGTTCCAGATTCAACACGTTCAAACGGTCTTAATTACCTCCGCCAGGAGGTTATGTAATCATCTGGGTTTGTATGTGTGTGTGTGTGTGTGTATGTGTGTGTGTGTGTGTGTGTGTGTATGTGTGTGTGTTTGTCTGTGAGCACGATAACTCAAGAAATACCAAACATATCCGTACGAAATTTTGTGAGTGCATTTTCCATCGGCCAAGGAAGAACTGATTAAAATTTGGTTGAATTTGGTTAAAAATTGAACGAGAAAAGAACAAACGTTTGTCTTGCTTTTCCCGGTCAATTAAAAAAACTTACTGAATGCGTAATTAGGACGTGTTTAATGTATGCACGCAGTACTAAGCCTCATTAAGCTCCAGCCTTCATTATCTATTGTCTTAGTTGCATTTCACACGACCGAAATTCAATGGGGGCGGAGGTATGCAGTCTCTGAGTGCCCTCTAGTTTCTAATGAATCACTACACAGATTGCAACACACTGACGGCACAGGAGGCCAAGGTTCTCCAGTTTACGTTTATATAGCTCAGTGGCCAGTACGTCATCCGGTCTTGCTTGTAATATCAGCAATTATAAACGCTCCCACAGAGACAAGCTACAGATCTATAGGAGAAAGTAGTGTAACTTTAACTGTGCTCTTTCAGGAAGAAAAACGATACTACCATCCGCCTTCTTGCGCCAACTGGGCCGATGGAAACTGTTAATATATTTTTCCTTCATATTACATTGCCATTCTGGATTCTAGCAGGGACCGCGGAATGGGATCCGGGCTAGGAGCTTTTTCTCCCTCCCCAATAATTTTCATAACGTACAATGTGCCGTTTCCTTCACTAAATTTACAAGCCAGACCTGTTTGCTGTGAAAATGTGTTTTATCGATGTTTTTCCTTGTATTAGTTTTTTCATGTTCTTTTTGTCTGTGTTATTTTTACTCAGGAAATCAGCCAAAATGTCTATGCAGCCGTATTCTGATGAAGAGCTGAACTACTTCAAGTTTGCGTCAATTGTCATGACGCAATTCGCAGATGCTCTGCGTAGCACCTTTGTAGACATGTGGAACATCAGTGTTGCACCAAGTTCCAGAGTTTGGGATGATTCGCTTTTTGTACGCAATATACTCTGCAACAATGAGGCTCCAAACAAAAAAATCCCAACGAACAACTCATTTAAAGAGTGGGACTGCACTGCACTATTCCAAGCCACTCTGTATGCAAGAACATTTGCGCTACCGGACAGCACTGGAAAGAAAAAGACGCTTGGAGAAATGTTTTTAAAAGGACGAAAGCTAGCACCTGCTCCATTCCACCCTGCCGTGAGGAGCTCGTGTGGAGATGCAAATGAGACGATCGCGCTTGCCAGTGATCAGCTTCGTATTTTAAGAAACGCTCTTTTTCATTTATCCAGCCCAAAAATAAAAAAAGTCACGTTCGATGACTATGTCAAACACGCCAAAGATGCATTCACTGCTTTGAATTTTAGCACGACATCTCTGGAGAGGATTGGCAATTTGAAAGAATCGGATTTTCCTACAAAGGCAGTACAAAAACTCAAAGAAAACATCAGTCGTGAGAGAAATGACTATCATATGTTTCTTGAAAGCAAGGTTATAGATGAAATGAGTGAAATGAAAGATGGAATGAGTGGAATAAAAGATGGAATGAGTGGAATGAAAGATGGAATGAGTCAAATTAATGAAAAACTGAATAGCATTGAAGGAGTATTAACACAGACCAAAGATACCACAGGTATGTTGTTTATGTATAATTATATCTTAACAATTGATTTTCCAATTCGAAAGCTGCGTTCATACCATATGATCAATAATACCTTTATCGTTCAATTCCCCCAGCCCTTGTTTTTCAGCCTCTTATGGCTCACTAAGTTGATATACCCAGCTCCAGTGGGGGTTATAGCGAACTTAAGCAAAGCTTAATCCAATAAGGAGACGTGTCAACAAACCGCCTTAAGTTTTACATTTTATTAATTATAAAGACTAATTGAATCAAACGTAAAATAAGTGGAGTGGAACATGATGCAAAAAGCATTAATAAAATATTAACACAGATAAAACAAAACCACATGTATGTTGGTTGTGTAATACTTTGACTTAAAAAGTGATTTTCCAGACTGCTGTGCACGCAGTTATGATAGAATGTCCACAGTCCATTTTTTCCCACCCCGTCTCCTGTGCCCGTTCTCCCGTCCTCCCGCCGCGGGACATGTAACCCCACTTCTATGACTCCCACAGCCTCTCCCCCCCCCCACCCCCAAAGGATGGTGGCACTGTCTAGACCTGCGATCATCGGTTGACCAGATATTATATCGGACTAGAAAACAGAAGATTGCGGGATCGATTCCCAGGCGCGGCCAAGTAACATTTTTCTCTGATTCTCCGATATCGAATGTCACTCGGAGTAGCACCTAATATCTTGGTTTCACTATACAGATTGCTTTTCGTCTATGTTGTTGGTGTGTCGTCGTCGACAGCTGTTCAAACCGTTTAGCAGCAGGCAGAGCATCATCAAATAGGGCTTTTGCAGGAATACAATGATTAGTTATTGTGCTGAGCAAACCACTCCGAGGGGCAAGAGACAACCAAGAAATCGACAGATTCGGTTGAGTAGTGAATATGCTTTCACTGCCAAAAAGCAAAAGAACAAAATCAAGATGCACATAGGATGAATGGTTTCTGACAATACAAAGAACCACAAAGTATACTCACCTGGGTAATTTTGCCTGCCAGTAAAACGTAAACAAGGCAAGGGGTTCGATCTAAAGTTCTTGTGCTTTTCGCGTTCAGCATAGCGATTCAGGGCAAGGGAATAAACCGAGTATATGCAAACAAAAGTATGTGTAAATTGGAAGTTACAAAAGTGATTTATTTCAAATGTTAAAAATGCATCACTCATCATGTTCAAATATCATGTATGATCGTATGTTTGTTAATAGTTATTCTTCTGCGAACTCGAGTCGTATATGTATATGAGCTGATAGGCAACGAGGTGCATAATATCGAGTAGGAGCCAGTAGCCTATCAGTCAAAAACGATGAGAGTGCGTAGAACAACTGTGTTATTAAATAGACAACTACTGCATTCGCCGAGTCGTCTGTATGACAATATTTTGGCAATTGTATTTTATCAATCCACAAACTTATCCGGTAATTTTTGAGCCGCCATCTTGTTTTCTCTACTACAGGCGTACAAAGTACAGCTTGTAACAAGTCTGCAAACAACTTGTTACAAGTCTGTTCACAAGCTGTCAACAAATTGTGTTCGCACTGCTTGTTCCCACACTTTTGTTCCTAAGAACAAGCTGTTAACAACTTATAACGAGCTTGATGGCATTATCAACCTTGTTACAAGACTGTGCCAACAAGTTTGTTACAGCCATGATATGACAAGGATGTTACAAGGTTGTCAACACAAGGCTATAACAATCTTGTTATATCAAGCATGTAACGGACTTGTCAGAACAACCTTGCAACATGTCTAGTAATTACGACAAGGTTGTTACAAGTTGTTAACAAGTTGTCCAAACCTGTTGACAACTTGTAACAAGCAGTGCGAATACATCTTCTTGAAGGCTTTTTGGCAGAATTATTGCAAGCGATGTGAGATTTTTGCGTGTGTACCAGAAACTAAGCCAATAACCTGCTAGTAGGTAGCCAATTCAGATTGTGGAATAGCTATATATTCGGTAGTCGTCCATGGGTGATTTAATCCCTGGAACCCCAAGGTCGCTGGATATATTAATACACACAAAACCCTTATACAAAACGTTATGCTATTTGAGCAAATCCGAATTTAATGAATAGGCATGACATATGTGACCTGACGTGGCGACCTGGTCACGTCATCTCGCGCAATTGTACGTGTTTATAACGCGTTCCATGTCAAATACTGACACATTATTATGTTGAAATTTTCCGCTGTATTGTACTGCAAAAAACTCTGTAATGCGAAAAAAAATGTATCAAAACCCCGAGATTCTTGGGTTAATTTTTTTAAATGGCGTCACATATTATTTTATATATTGCTTATAGTTAGTCTATGCTGTAAGACTTTATTTCGCGAAAAAAGTTGGCGGTCACTGTGCTTCTTTTCCACTACACAAACCAATAGGCTATTTTAGAGTGAATTTCTCAAGCGTGTGTTGCCATAGTAACGAACTCCCCCCCCCCCCCCCC